CATGTCAGCCTCATCTTGATGCAGTTTATCATATTCTTCGGTACCTCAAGTCTTGTCCTGGACTTGGGTTGTTTTATGCATCAGGATCTCAGACCGGTTCTCTAGCCTGTTATTCAGATTCAGATTATGGGGGAGCATGTGATGGTCGATCTACTACGGGTTTCTGTGCTTTTCGAGGGACTCATCTTATCTCTTGGAAGAGCAAGAAGCAGGCAGTTGTCTCCCGCTCGTCCGCAGAGGCAGAGTATCGGGCATTGGCACTTGGCACATGTGAGATTATCTGGCTACGATCGATTCTTGACGAGTTGGGTTTTTCAGTGACCTCTCCATCCACATTATATTGTGATAATCAATCTGCTATTCAGCTCGCTTCTGACTCTGTACTACATGAGAGAACGAAGCATATAGAGATCGATGTTCACTTTCTTCGGGAGAAGGTCACCAGTGGTCTTGTTACTCCATCGTTTGTGGGGACCAGTGATCAAGTTGCGGATGTTTTTACCAAACCTGTTACTCTGTCTATTCTTCGGGACTCCATTGTCAAGCTTGGCTTAGTTGACATTTTTGCGCCTAGCTTGAGGGGGAGTGTTGGAGTATAGATAGTAGTCTAGGTCTTTTTTACCCTTACTATGATTTTTATATTTTGCCTAAACTACAAGGATATTTAAGTCACTCTGTATTATTTTTGGCTATATATACGGGACTCTACTTTGAGTTTGAGTATCCCTTTCACATATTTCAAGTTATACCATGGACAAGATTATCTCTGTACACTGTGCACATTTACGGGCTTTTGATTTTAATAGAACCGAAAGACAGCATGCACCTAGCTAGCTAGCTAGTTGCCCTCTGATCTGAACACTACAGTTTTGTTTGAAGGTCTACCAAAGCCCCAGAAAAGGACAGGAATGAAGATGATTTTGTTTGCAAAAAGAATAATTAGGTTAGGCCTTCTATAAACTCATAGAGACAGGATAATTTCAAAAGTATATGTCTGGGTGTGATGGTAACCTCCCTCAACCTCCACGACCTCTGGGACCCTGCCTCACTCAGAAAAGAAAACCACAAGATTGACCCGATGGTGAGAGTGGACAAAATAACTGGGGTTGATAATTGAACCGACCTACTTTAGACTCGATTTGGACAGAACTCAACTCGAACTTGAGTTGTGTGTTAAACAAGACGAGCCTGAATAATTTTTTTAACTCGTTTAAAAAATGAATCTAAAAGATTCAACTAGTTTATATGTAAAATAATTCAGCTATTCAGATTCGGCTTGTTTTAGGTTCGATTAACTATTTTTTAAATTAGTCGAATTTTAACAATTTTTTAAGTTAGTTCACAAAATTCGACTCGATTATCAACTTTAAACGTAACTTAGGGTTATGTTGATATGCTATTTTTGGTGACATTCACACTCAAGTGCGTCATGCAATATTGTGACCAAAGAAAAAAAGAAGGCTCATTGCATCGTATGGATGCAGGGCATCATGCGGCACCACGCCTTCGACTTGAGTGGCTTTGGGTCCCAATCCTATTGCACGTGCACCACGCACACGGGTCTAGAACAAAACAAACTACTCACACCACTTCTAAAAAGTCAAGTTTATGGAGAGTCATGTGGGGTCCTTCTTGAGTAGTTTGTCCACNCTATTCATTAGATTTATCAAGAGGTTAAAAAAATGAACACTTATTGGAAAGAAGTGTCGTCATGAAGAAATATATAACAACATAATTTTGTAATTGTGTTAATTTAAGTTCATATAGATTTTCGGATTGTGTTAATTTTTTTATTTCAATCCTTGCACTTCTTNATTGCGGGGTGATTTCGTTATATATCTTTCTACTAATTAAAATACTTCCACGTTTTTTACAAAATTTGCTAAAATACACGATCTACTGCTCTAATATCACGTTAAACTATTATCAACTCTAAAAATTTAAATCGATAAAAATAGGGTACAAAATATGCNACTTCTTTTATTTAAGACCTTCTTGGATGCCCCATTTTCTTGGCAAATTTTTTGTGTTAAGAGTACTTTTAGGCATAAGTAATGACTAATGTGTAAATATAGTAGTTATTATATCGCAATAAAATTTATTATACACAATAGTTGTATCACTTTGTTTGTTGTTGTGTCAATGTGAATATGTCGTTTTTGTCACTATGGCCGTCACTGTGAATATCATGTATATTGTAGTAGAATGTTGTTATATATAGTAGTANTTGCTTTCAAAAGTTTGTAGAATTTTAACCAAGCTTGTTCCCTTGTTGGCTGTCCTTTTGGGGACCAACACTTATTATTTTACTTACTTCAACTTGTGATTGTTATGTGCGCACGTAAGGGTTGAACAATTGTTGGGACATGGAGGGGCCAATGTGAGGATGTTTTATCACTCGTTATGTCTTATAGGGAGGGTTGGTGAGTCTTCAAAAAACCAAGTCACATGAGATTGGGAATATATGTCAAATCGTGTCGAGTGAGATGAATTTATATCGGGTTATTGTAAAAAAATATATCACTTATACCCGATTTGTGTCTAACGAATCAGGTTCGNTAGTGTCACTGTGGCAGCCATTGTGTCACTGTTACTGTGATTAATATATATATATATATTATATATATAAGAGATGTGAGAGAGATAATAGGACGAAAGAGTCACGGAATTATAACATCAAATATTTCTTTCAATTTAGGGAAAATAGGAAATTAAAAAAAAAAAGGAAAAAAGTCTTATAGATCTACTTACCAAATAATACTTCAATAAAATTGTGTCTGGACCTATTAACAAAACATATTGTCATATTATACGTTGAAATATGGATATTATATAGATACAATTAAACTTTCTATATATATATGTGAGAGATAGAGAGAGAATTTTAATTATGAAAGATTTTAAAAAAAAAAAAAGNTATATAACAGATATATAATCGAGTCGTGTTATGTATTTCTTTTGAATTACTTCACTTATACTCGATGTGTTTAGTAAACAATTACTTAACGAAGATCCAAACCCTCTAATTTTATATCGTATTCGTGTCATGTTGACGGATTGTGTCATTTTTTAATCCCGTGCTATCCAAACATTGAAAACCATTAATGCAAGAATCTACAGTGGTATTGATAAAGATTTGGAATGGATACACCTCCAGAACCTATATTTTATATTTTCAATTTTTTTTTTATGATAGATGGCTAACCGTTATGTTGATGAACGACCAATAAAATCAAATTTGACGGCTCGAGCCAATAAAATTAAATTGAACATGGGTTGGACAAAAAAGAGTGTCCAAAGATCACTCTGATAGGTTATCACTAGTAAGATCATAAGACCTTTTACCATACTCATTACTTCACTTAAGAACAAATCTAGTTATGATAATATAGCGATCAACTATCAAATTTCAATATGAACTGTAAAACTCGAACTTCCAGCCACAAGTTAGAGGTTTGCACCTGTTAAATTGTGAAAGAAACTGTACAATAATAATGGGTGATCGTAAACAAGTTCGCTTTCGCTCCTAATTGTTTTGCATTGCGTCCTGAATCCTAATTGTAACATATTACGTTGTAATCAGGTGTCCGCATGCAATCCACATCGGTTTTAACTGTTCCACACTGTATAAGAACTAGATGTGCCTCTATTAATTACCATGAAGTTTTTGTATCCTCCTTGTACAAGGTCAAGGTGTACTAAAGGTAAGTGGGCTTATTTTAGGCTAAATGGTGCATTTTCAACACAAATATTATAGTGGACAAACTCTACAGAGCTAAAAGAGTAGTGTTATTTAGATCTAAAAAAACTACTTAATTTGTGGACCTGATACTGTGTCAACTAATGAAATCTCAATAAAGAAGTTCAAGAATTACAGTCATTGATAGTTAATTCTCAAACTGGGGTGGTTCCTGATTGAACTGTCCAAATCCGCCACGTACTCTCTCTTGATTATCCATTGAGTCTTACCCAGTAGTTAGTTTCACCCCTCTATTGGACCATGTCACTGTCACATTATTAAGTCAACAAATTAGGTCTTTTTTTAAATCTCAATTACATTACTCGAGTTAAAAATACATCCAATTAAATCAAACCTTCTTTATTGGCTTTAATGCAGTCTGTATAGCTTCAAAAAACAGCAAAGGAAACTATCTTCCATAAATGAACAGTTCTCTATAATTCCTATAACTCTTGGTTTATGAGGGTGAAATATTGGGATGAAAAATAAGATATTATTGTAATTTTCTTCCTTTTTAAGAAAATTGTTAAACAAAAAAAAAAGGGTCTAGAGCCATAAATGATTATGAATTGATTAGAACTTATAAATAGTGGGGATGAGAATGAAGCCATTGGAGATAATCACGAGAAGCAAAAGTGAACCATCCAAATCTCTGAGATTCTCCTTGTAGTGCAGTGTTGTCTAGCACTATGATAGACCTTGTGCCCATTGCACTAGCTCTCTTCCTAGGACTAGCTTTGTTTTTTCGTCTTCTACACTTCTTCTTTGCTGAAAAAGGGCCTACACCTACAGACTTGCCTAAAGGAAGCATGGGGTGGCCATTTTTGGGTGAGACTCTGGGCTTTCTCAAACCTCATAAATCAAACTCTCTGGGAAGCTTCTTACAAGAACATTGCTCCAGGTGATTCGACTTCATTTCAATTTTGTTCGTTTTTTATGTCAATTACATAATGAAAATCGGTTAACTTTGACCAAATATAACCTCGTGCTTGAAGTTCAAAATTGATTTTTCAGATATGGAAGCGTGTTTAGATCACATCTGTTTGGTTCTCCAACCATAGTTTCCTGTGATCCAGAGCTCAATACATTCATTCTTCAGAATGAACAGAAGCTATTCCAGAGCAGTTATCCAAAGCCTGTGCGTGATATTCTTGGAAAGCTTTCTATGATGCTTGTGTCCGGAGACCTTCATAAGAAATTAAGAAGCATTGCAGTGAGCTTCATCAATACGACTAAGTCAACGCCTGACTACCTTCTTTACGTAGAGAAGTACTCAATCTCAGCAATGGAGTCGTGGAAAGGCCGTCAACAAGTTTCTTTCTTGAAAGAAGCTAAAGAGGTGAGGAGTACTCTACATTCAGCATGAGAGAGAGAGAGAGAGAGAGAGGCCAAAGAGGGAAAGCCGAAAAAATCTTTCTCTGAGGGGCAGCGACGAAGGCAGGTTTTAGAACTCGATAAAACGGACGAAGACTTCCNAGAGAGGCCAAAGAGGGAAAGCCGAAAAAATCTTTCTCTGAGGGGCAGCGACGAAGGTAGGTTTTAGAACTCGATAAAACGGACGAAGACTTCCAGAGAGAGAGAGAGATGATTTGTATATTAATTAGATACATAGAATTCTAACTCATGTGTTTTTGTTACAAAATGCAGTTTACATTGTATCTCATGTTGAAGACTTGGCTGGATATAGAACCAGAAGATCCACCAGCTTTGAAAATATTAGAAGACTTCCTTACCTTCATGAAAGGGTTTGTGTCACTCCCTCTAAATGTTCCAGGGACCCCTTATGCCAAGGCTGTCAAGGTATACTACTATAACCAGAGATCAAGTGGTCAACTAAAAAAAGAAGTTTCCCAAAAGGGGCTGTTGCTGGACCGTGTTTTAAAAAGTAGAGTTAATCAAGCAATTCATCAACTTTTTTACGAAAGTGACCATGTTTCATTTTTTAGATAGTTCAACAGGTGATCATTTCTTCAAAAACTTAACGGTCAATGTTAAACATTTTGGTTAATATTGTGTTTTAGCCATAAGTCTAATGACATGTCTTTTCTATTGATACAACTTAACTATCTATGCGGCGGAACAATATTCTTATCCTTTTTTGTTTATACACTATATCCAAATTTTACAGGAGATTGGTATAATTTATATATATCTGCTTAAGTTGTTGATCATCACTGGCATCTATATATCTTCAGGCAAGAGCAAGGATCGCATCCACTTTAAGAGAAATTCTTAAAGAAAGAGAAAAGAGCAAAGTGGGGTCTTCCAAAAGTGGCGTTTTAGACGAGATTTTGCAGAAAGGGAACTTAAGTGATGAAGAGAGAGTGAGTGTTGTTATGGACCTAGTGCTAGCAGGTTATGAGACAACCTCAGGACTTCTGTCCCTAGTCGTCTACTTTCTTGGACAATCACCGTATGTTCATCAAAAACTAAAGGTAAACCCACACACACACACACTCTCTCACTCCCCTATTCAAAGGAAATGCTAAAAGGTCTTGTATAAACAATTAATCAGGAAGAGCACCTAGCTCTGAGGAGAAGAAAGGGAGAAGGAGAACCCTTGAACTGGGAAGATTACAAGCAAATGGAATTCACTTCCAATGTAAAATTTTAACTGTGCAGTAAATGTTTTACAACTTAATTTGTTCTTTTTTTGTGGTGCTTTTAAGTTAAATAATAAACTCATAAATGCTTCTAATGATCAGGTTATATGTGAATCTCTAAGATGTGGAAACCTAGTTAAATTTTTGCACAGGAAAGCTCTTCAAGATGTCAAATTCAAAGGTATATATATATATATAAGTCATGTTTAATATAAGTCATGTTTAAATAAAATCTTAGACTCGTCTAAAAAAACGAGCTCAATCGGCTTAGGTTTAAATTCTACAAAATTCGGTTCGATTAACACTCTTACCCAAAAACAAAAACAAAACAAAAAAAAGAATTACTCTTACATGGAGTAAGATCAGTTGGTTATCTTTGTTGCAGATTATCTGATTCCTGCAGGGTGGCAAGTTCTTCCTGTCTTCACTGCATCGCATCTTGATCCATCTATTCATGAAAATCCCTCGGAGTTTAACCCTTGGAGATGGACCGTATGTATCTCTTACCAATGTCTCTGCATGCAAATATTTAAGAAAGAAAATGAATCTATATTAAACTGTATTATTATTAATATTGTTGATATATGATACGATAAGACTCGATTAATACCACTTTCTGCATGTCCATCTTTGATAGGATCCAGCAATGAACAGAAAGGTGACACCTTTTGGTGGTGGATTACGGCTGTGTCCTGGTGTGGAACTAGCTAAAGTGGAGACTGCCTTTTTCCTTCATCATTTTGTCCTTAACTATAGGTAATAATAATATTGAACCAACCATTGCATTTCCCCCACTAAATCAATGTCATGCACAGTTTCATAGGTGCTAAAAAAATAAAAAAAGAAATTAACCCTAATATAAATCAAGTAATAACAAGGACGAATTGTAAACTCAAACATCCTGAGTTCGAATTTTGACAACTCCTTGGACCAGACCAGAATCCCTTAATCACGGCGTAAATGATCTACCTTTGACAAAATCGAAAAAGAAATTAGTCGAGATATGCATAAACTAGTCCGGACAACCCTAACTATTAAACCCAAAAAAAATAAAAGTTAAATATATATAATCTTATTTCATGTACCGAAAAATTATTTTCGTGACTCAGAGTTTGTGATACCCAAATTGTGATGAAACAACTTAGCATTGTCATCCCAACCCTTTCCAGATTGCTGTCGTAACATGCTCTAGTAGTCTCATTTCATCACTGCTTTCGATAATCTGATGTTTGGTTGTGCACTCTTGTCCCAGGTGGAAAACAAAAGATGATGATTTCCCGGTATCATACCCTTATGTGGACTTCAAAAGAGGTTTGGTGTTGGAGATAGAGCCAATAAAGAATAGAATGTCTTGAATTATGCTGTAGGGGTGCAGGAAAGTTGTCACTACAAACAATTGGTATTTGCATTTTTTTTTCCCCCCTGTTCTTAATAAGGAACTTCTCCGAGGTAAGAGACTGTGTTAGGATGTGTTTGTTAACTCAAATTTAGCACCTAAAATAAATGTATTCAGCATTTATTAATTAAGTCCGTTTGATAACCAAAATTTAAACTCTCTTAATATATTAAGTACTCTTTAAAAATAGGTTATAATATTAAGAAGAAGATGTCTTACTTAATTCTGAAAACTGAAAGTGCTTATTAAAACAATCTTTAATAATATTTACAAAATGATAATTATACCCTAAAATATTTTACAATCCTATTAAAATTCTAATTAGTCTTCTCTTCAAAACTCCTAACCTATATATTCTCCTTGTCGATCTTTTTTTTTTTTTTCTTTTCCTTGTCTTCTGTAACAAAAGTATACATACATAATTATAATTATACACACAAACGCACTAATTACACACACTGCACACACACAATTACACACAGACATATGCACTGNTTTACAAAATGATAATTATACCCTGAAATATTTTACAATCCTATTAAAATTCTAATTAGTCTTCTCTTCAAAACTCCTAACCTATATATTCTCCTTGTCGATCTTTTTTTTTCTTTTCTTTTCCTTGTCTTCTGTAACAAAAATATACATACATAATTATAATTATACATACAAACGCACTCATTACACACACTGCACACACACAATTACACACAGACATATGCACTTCACACACGAACACATGGCGCGCGCACATATTGTTAATAAAATCTAATTTATTATATTTTTTCAATATTATTTGATTATTTATTAGTTATTGTTCTTTCTTTTATTAGATGTTATTGTTCATGTATTATGTTATTCAATTTATTATTATTCACTTATTGTGTTATTCAGATGTTATTTATTTATTTTGATCAAATATTTGTTAAATATAAACTACAATATAATAATAGTGATTATGATTTATGTTATGACATATTTTATAAATATTTTCAAATTAAAGAGTAGAAGATAAAATTGAAAATTAATTATTTTTAGACGTCAGCTCTGTATAATTATTAAACAGTTTAGTTCAATTTAGTACTTAAATTTCAGTAAATATCAAACAGTCCACAAATTCAGCATTCAACATTCAATTTTCAGNATTATGATTTATGTTATGACATATTTTATAAATATTTTCAAATTAAAGAGTGGAAGGTAAAATTGAAAATTAATTATTTTTAGACGTCAGCTCTGTATAATTATCAAACAGTTTAGTTCAATTTAGTACTTAAATTTCAATAAATACTAAACAGTCCACAAATTCAGCATTCAACATTCAATTTTCAGACTTGAGCTTTTAGTTTTTATCAAATATCACCTTAAACTCGCACATGATAAAATAAACAGTTACAATCACCCGCAAATCACAAGTATCAACTAAGTCTAAGAGACACCAACAAAACTCAAACCCCTGACGTCTGAGTCTACGATTCAGATTCAACTCTATATTGCTAGACTACTCGTGCGGGTTGGATATTTGTATTTTATTTACTAGGAAGTATTGGAGAAAAAATTCATTCGATTAATCTGATAATTTCCAAAAAACATTGTCCAAATTGGTAACTTTTTCTTTGGACTTATCTATGGTGGTGACAGGTAAAATATTTTTATTATACAAATATTCTGATCGGATCAATGTGGATCAAATAATTATATAATTGAAGGGATAAACGGGTTTATACCAAATCAAAATTAATAGAAAAAACTCCTTAGTCCGTACCATATATTAAAATAATAAAATTCAGATCAATTTGGACAAAAATTCAAAAGCTTGTCTACGGTCCCGAAAAACAAAATTTCGGTACCATACCAACTTTACATGCCTAGAACCAACCTCCTATCATGAAACACCTCCAAATACCTGTAAGGGCATTTCATAGAGACTGAATGAACATATCTTCTAAAATAATAAAATGAAAAGTTCAGTACATAAGTAACAAAGACACTCACTCCAGCAAGGATATCCACAGAGAGACGAGGTTTGTTGTCTCCAGCATTGCCCACAACCGGCCTTGTCTGTGGGAAATGGCAAATCAACTTTGGTGCTTGCTGGTTATCAAGAAGCTCAGAAGTCGCTCCCGATTCTCGTTGGACCTTTTGCTTCTGCAGAGATAAGGTAAACAGATCACAACGAATTCTACAATGTTTCTGAACAGAGAAAAGGCTTATTATGTCCCAGTATAAATGGAACTGAATGCTGCAGTTTGAACTTTGAATCAACTTCATCTAAACATCATGAGTTAAAAAACAGCAAGGATAATACTGTTTGACCTTCAGAGCAATCAGTGCCTGTGAGTCGGTGTCAGTATGATTCAATACCCATGCATTGGATTTGATCTAGAAGAAGAGGAGGGAACATACAATACGCATGTTCACCCACATTGGATATTTAGGTTGCTTTACTTACTATAATAATTAGTTTTACCTTCGTTATTCTTTCTTCTATACAACTTAAAGCATGAGACTGATCAAATTTAGAGAGGTAAAAATCTCATTCCATCTTAGCAGCAGAAATCTCCAACGCTAGTTTCTGTTCTCGAACAGCATTCTTGTAGGCTGTAGTGTCAGAAGTTCTCAGCTAAGATAACAAGGTAGTGACCTGCTTAAGCTCAAGTAGTATTCATAAAACCATGCAATCTACAGATTCTTGAACCTATCTCTTCAGTGAGATCGTCCCACTTGAATTTACTCGAGTACTTGCTATTCCAAATATCATAATAGATGAAGATCTCTTCCTCCCACCTAAACATGATCAGGATATGCAAACAACAAAAACTTAATTAGATAGTGTAATTGCTAAATATGAAGAAAACAAAGATGCCAGGCACGTTGTTTGCTACAGAGGTCCTATCATATACCCAAATGACCGAACACTGGAATGTATAACAATAAAGCAGAGGTACAGAACTACAAGTAACTTTAGGAAATTTTATTAATTTCAACAAAACAATTTTAGCCCAAAAGAACAATTTAGTTTGCCTGTTTCCGCTTTTCACCCACATGTTTGTTATGAAGCACCCACCATGTTTGTTATGAACCACACACCAGAACCAAATGATGCTTACAAAATTACACCAGAAGAACAGATTTTGTCAGTTAACCTCAGCAACATCTGAATATCTAATGCATTTTTAAGATATATGGAAAATTTTAGGGCACCAGTGAGCAAATGAATAAAGTTTTCAAGAAAAAAGAGAAAGCTGTGATAATTATTAATCGATACTTTGAAAAATAGATGCTAAATTACATACCTATTTGTTCACTATTTAGCATTTTAGCAACCCTCTTTGCAACTTTCTTTTTGCTAAATTCTGCCCACCTACACACAGAAACAACTATATGATTCTATGCAGGTAACACCCCAGTAATACCTTTATGTAAAACTAAAACAAAAACCTAAAGAAACAATGTCAGCAGTAAGGTCCCTTGGCAACAAAAATGAAAGAAAATGATTTCACAAAAGTCAAGTTGTTGTGTTAACATAGATATGGTAGATTTAATGTACTCACACAATTGAATTTATCCCAAGACATCAAGTATAAGGACAACTTCTGGAATGAGACTTAACCTTCTGAAAATTCTAGTCCTCGAAATCCACCAGCCTGTTTGCAATGATCATGAGCAGCAGGATCTGTAAAATGAGTTAGAGAAAGCTTTAAAGTTGTTAAGTGTAAGCAGGCCTGCTACATTGTACCAAATAAATCTAATGCTGATATACAATTACCTAATCATAGGACTCTTGTACAGTTATCAACTTAACTTAATCAATTTGAAGAAAATAGTANTCTAATGCTGATATACAATTACCTAATCATAGGACTCTTGTACAGTTATCAACTTAATCAATTTGAAGAAAATAGTAAATAAACTTCAGGTGTAAGATAAATCCTTTGAATTTTTCCATACTAAGAGAGAATATGACGAAGCTTCACATGATCCATATGTGGAGGAATTCTACTCAAGTAGCAAACCCCAAACTTTTCAGCTTCCTTTAACATAGGCTTGTGCCTTCTATTTTTCCAACTTTCTGTCCTTTCTTGGTTTGATCGTGGATTCTCTTCCTCTGAAGAAATTGCTTCTATTACCTCTGGTTCTTCTTCCTAAGCCATTAAAACTAATACGAACAGAACAAAAAAAAGGACTGAATAATTTCTAAAAGCTAATACTCTTTGGTGATAAGAATGACATTAGAAAAAGAAAAAAAAGTTAATAAGAAGACATTAGAAAAAGAAATAAATATCGTTTGAAGTCTATCCCAATGTGATAGTCATTGCACTTCATTTGACATTTCTGGCCCAAAATGCTCATCACAACGATTCACTAGTTTTCTGCGTAAGCATTTTATCGAACATCTGTCAAACAATTTTGTAGAAAGCTATCAACCAGCACAAATATGGAGTGGAATACGATTTTCTTGACAAATCTCGAGAAAAATAAGATTAAATTTCAGATGTGGTCTATTTAATTCTTGTGAAAAAAACACCACAAAATAAAAATAAAAAAAAAGTTTCGTAATTGAAAAATCAAGGCGAAAATCAGAAATTTCGGAAGAACTTTTGTATATACAAAGCGTATAGTGAAAGGAATTGAGGTTTCAACTGCTACATATAACGACTGGGTTTTCCATCTGTGGGAAAGAGTAATTGCACTAGAACAGATGTTCATATATTTCTATATACCGCCTGTGTATGTAAATTACATACCGGTGGCCAGTGGCGGTCGACGGTGGGGAGAGAGAGAGAGGTGAGAAAGTTCCGGAGTAGTCTGGTGGTTGCTCGGCTTCAGGCGCTTGTTGCGAGCTAGCAACGAAAACAATTTTCTTTGGTTTGACGCGCACCATGATGGCCCTCGTCAATAACCGTCATAGCTTTAGCCCGTAAACTAACGTGGGTGGATCTCGAATTCGGACTAGGCCAATTTTTTGATGGGTTCCACGTTTAAAGGTTATAGCAATGCATTACGTGTCTTACGCGTAAATAATTTTTGTGTAAATTAAATATTAACTCAAGTTTATAAAAATTATGTTTTTATCGTTGTTTTCAACAGTTCATTGTTCTGACTATAAGAAAAAAAAAAAGATAAAAATAATTCATTTTGAAATTCATTTAATTAGATTTCAACATATAATTCATTGAATAAAATAATAGTAATTATCAATATTCTAATCAATACTTATTTTGAAGGGTAACATAGTCAAATAAAAAGTTTCACAAATGTTGATATTTATATATAAAGAATAAAGAATTAAAAGAGATGTTAAGGATAATATGAAGATTTAAACACTAAAGATATGATGGTAATTTAATTATTTAACTATGGAATGATAATGTGGTATTTAAAATTCATGCACACGTGGACTTTTTGAGTTATAATTTTGCTTTTGAAATAATTAAATAAATATAATAGCAAATACCTACTTATAAATCTAATTTTTTGAATATTTCTATTATATAATTTGTAATTTACATAACACTACATATTTACATAACAAATATTAGTTTTTATTATTTTATTTTCTCTTGAGTTTTGATGAATTAGCTCCTTCTAAACTTGTATCCTTATAGTTTAGAATTTTTAACATGAAATTAATTATTTAGATTATTTTTTTTTGCAACATCATAAAAATGGTACAAATATATTTTATAGTATGTAAGTATATATAACTAAAAAATATCGCAGACACTTATTAAATTATGAAAATTATAAAAGTGAATTATTTTAAGTTATAGTGATCATTTAATTATAAACAATTAGTTGAACAAATTTAAAAAGTTAAGTTGTGATAAGAAATTTAATGTGAGACTAAACTTATTCGTAGCATTGCTAATCGATACAAATAAAATAGTCAATAAATATAACTAAAGAAAATTTATTAAAACTAAAACATAAAAGAAAAGAAAATGAAAAGTTAGGGTTTGATAATCTTATCCAAATTATATTAAAATAAATCTTATATTAAATAAGACTCTAGTGCATTTATTCAATTTTATTTGAAAATTTAGAACTTGTCATCAACTAATAAAAATAGATAAACAAAAATAAAAGTAAATTTAATCATTTTAACAATTAATTTTTATCTTTTAAAAGAAAGAATATGAAAAGGCTTGGATATGTGTAATATTAATGAAGTTTTATCAATATGAATTTCATATTAATAATGTTAGTATTGTGATAGTAAAGTTGTCCAATTAAAAGTTTAACATCAATCAAGTCTTATTAATATGAGTTCCAAATTAAATACGATTAGAAAATTTTTTATATATTGTTTTAAGGTTAAAGTTGTCAATCAAAATTTTTTCTTGATAGTTTACTTTTATTAGTATTATAGATTGAGGCAAGTTTACACAAACCTTGATGAAATTGTCAAAAACAAAGAACAAATTTTATTTTGTATATTACAAAATTTCAAGGTTCTCACTTCATATTCCCAAAAGATTAAATTTTTTATATTATACCCTCAATGTATTAAATGTGTTGTAACGTGACCCTTCTGTTAACTTTTCATTAGTTTTTTCATCCATGTCAATGAGTTGACTTTTGACAAAAAAATAACGGAAACTAACAGAAAGATCACATTGCAATACTTTTGATACATCAAGAATACAATGTAAAAAATTTAATTTTTAAGGATATAAAATAAAAAAATTTAAAATATCAATGTGCAAAGTAAGAAAACCCCAAAAACNATGAAGTTTTATCAATATGAATTTCATATTAATAATGTTAGTATTGTGATAGTAAAGTTGTCCAATTAAAAGTTTAACATCAATCAAGTCTTATTAATATGAGTTCCAAATTAAATACGATTAGAAAATTTTTTATATATTGTTTTAAGGTTAAAGTTGTCAATCAAAATTTTTTCTTGATAGTTTACTTTTATTAGTATTATAGATTGAGGCAAGTTTACACAAACCTTGATGAAATTGTCAAAAACAAAGAACAAATTTTATTTTGTATATTACAAAATTTCAAGGTTCTCACTTCATATTCCCAAAAGATTAAATTTTTTATATTATACCCTCAATGTATTAAATGTGTTGTAACGTGACCCTTCTGTTAACTTTTCATTAGTTTTTTCATCCATGTCAATGAGTTGACTTTTGACAAAAAAATAACGGAAACTAACAGAAAGATCACATTGCAATATTTTTGATACATCAAGAATACAATGTAAAAAATTTAATTTTTAAGGATATAAAATAAAAAAAATTTAAAATATCAATGTGCAAAGTAAGAAAACCCCAAAAACAAAAAAATAGGTATCATATTGCCATTTAGGGTCAATCCTAACTAGGATTAATTCCAAGTATCTAAAAAATTGTAACTCGACCCCTAAAAATTTATAACTTAAAACCCTAAAAATTATAACTTCAACTCAAAAAATTGTAAATTTTTTGCATCAATCTCAATTTTTTTTTTATTTTGGCTAAAAAACTCAATAACTTGTATCTCAACCCATACAATTTATAATATAGTTGTATAGTCCCATCTTTTTCCTTACCTAGTATTCTCCATGTTATTATCAGTTGGTTATAAATTAACAAATAATCTTACCAAACATGTATAATTAATTGCATATTGAACAACTAATTATTACTCGTACCTGAAAGTATGGTGTAATTAAAAAATTGTCAATCATCAACATATGTATATTCATACTAAAATCAAATTACAAATATAGATGAGAGAAAAAAGAATTTAACCACTAGTTGTATTGAAGGTGAGAGGTGGTAGTGGTCGTGGTCGTGGGCGGCGGTCGTGGGAGATAGTGATGATTGTGGTGGGTGACGATGACCATAATGGTAGTGACAGTCATAGGTGATGATGGGTGTGGGTAGTGGTGGATAACAGTGATGATGGTTGACAGTGGTGGTGGTGGGGCAACAATAATGGTGGTGGTGGCGGTGGGCGACGACGGTGGTGGTGGGTGGTAACGATGATGGTGGGGGTGATAAGTGTAGTGAAGGGTGGATGACAATGGGTGGCAGTGATGGTGAACGAAAATGGGTGGTGGTGGGTTATGGTAGTGGGGCAACGATGGTGATGATGGGTGGTGGTGGTGGGCGACGATGGTGATGGGATGATTCTGATAATGGTAATAAATATAAGAATTAGATGATGATAATGGTAGACGGTAGCAGTGAGCGACGGTATTAGTAATCGGTGGTGAATGACAGTAGTAACAATCAGTGGTGAATGACGACGATGATAGTGGTGGTGGTAGTGATTATTGCAGATGTGGCAATGGTGGGATGACAACAGTGGCGATAAAGGTAGGGGTAGTGGTGATGGGGGTGGTAGTTATGACAAAGGTGGTGGTGAGATGACGACGGTGGTGATGGGGTGGTGGGACGATGGCGATAGTGATAGGGTGACAACAACAATGGTGGTAGTGGGGATAGGGGTGGTGGTTATGGCAAAAGTGGTGATGGAGTGGCAACAATGGCGATAGTAATGGTAGTGCTGGTGGTGGTAGTGAAAGANAAAAAAAAAAAAGATAAAAATAATTCATTTTGAAATTCATTTAATTAGATTTCAACATATAATTCATTGAATAAAATAATAGTAATTATCAATATTCTAATCAATACTTATTTTGAAGGGTAACATAGTCAAATAAAAAGTTTCACAAATGTTGATATTTATATATAAAGAATAAAGAATTAAAAGAGATGTTAAGGATAATATGAAGATTTAAACACTAAAGATATGATGGTAATTTAATTATTTAACTATGGAATGATAATGTGGTATTTAAAATTCGTGCACACGTGGACTTTTTGAGTTATAATTTTGCTTTTGAAATAATTAAATAAATATAATAGCAAATACCTACTTATAAATCTAATTTTTTGAATATTTCTATTATATAATTTGTAATTTACATAACACTACATATTTACATAACAAATATTAGTTTTTATTATTTTATTTTCTCTTGAGTTTTGATGAATTAGCTCCTTCTAAACTTGTATCCTTATAGTTTAGAATTTTTAACATGAAATTAATTATTTAGATTAATTTTTTTTGCAACATCATAAAAATGGTACAAATATATTTTATAGTATGTAAGTATATATAACTAAAAAATATCGCAGACACTTATTAAATTATGAAAATTATAAAAGTGAATTATTTTAAGTTATAGTGATCATTTAATTATAAACAATTAGTTGAACAAATTTAAAAAGTTAAGTTGTGATAAGAAATTTAATGTGAGACTAAACTTATTCGTAGCATTGCTAATCGATACAAATAAAATAGTCAATAAATATAACTAAAGAAAATTTATTAAAACTAAAACATAAAAGAAAAGAAAATGAAAAGTTAGGGTTTGATAATCTTATCCAAATTATATTAAAATAAATCTTATATTAAATAAGACTCTAGTGCATTTATTCAATTTTATTTGAAAATTTAGAACTTGTCATCAACTAATAAAAATAGATAAACAAAAATAAAAGTAAATTTAATCATTTTAACAATTAATTTTTATCTTTTAAAAGAAAGAATATGAAAAGGCTTGGATATGTGTAATATTAATGAAGTTTTATCAATATGAATTTCATATTAATAATGTTAGTATTGTGATAGTAAAGTTGTCCAATTAAAAGTTTAACATCAATCAAGTCTTATTAATATGAGTTCCAAATTAAATACGATTAGAAAATTTTTTATATATTGTTTTAAGGTTAAAGTTGTCAATCAAAATTTTTTCTTGATAGTTTACTTTTATTAGTATTATAGATTGAGGCAAGTTTACACAAACCTTGATGAAATTGTCAAAAACAAAGAACAAATTTTATTTTGTATATTACAAAATTTCAAGGTTCTCACTTCATATTCCCAAAAGATTAAATTTTTTATATTAT